TGTTGAGACTCCTGGCTCTGGCCAGGTAGAGTGGCTCTTGCCTGTAATCCCAGCAATTTGGGAAGTTGAGGTGAAAGGATCACTCGAACCCAGGGGTTTGGGACCAGCCTGGGCAACATAGTGAGATCCCACCTCCATTTATTAATAATATTATTAATAGTATATATGTAATTTAAAAAGAGACTATTGGCTCTAACAAGATCTGTTTTCTTGAGTATTTCAAAATTTAGACTTTGCACCTATCTTCAGAGGAAATTGCTTTCCAAGGATGTGTCATGGTTCAGGACTGTGAAGTTATCACTTTGGTGGTTTTTGTCTACCTCTGCCAAGCCCACTAGTCTCTCAACTAGTTTCTACAATAATTTCTTGACTTCCGATTTTGTAAAAATCAAGCTTGATATGTGAATTCAACCCAAAGTTCATAGAGTATTGGTTTAGATTTTTCCAAGACTATTAGTTTTCAACCATGACTTAGTACAGTCAGCCCATCTTTCTCCCCAAATATCCATTTCAATGGGAAGAAATTTCTAGTCTTTTTCTAGGGTATCAATTTTTAGCTAGGATTGCAACTGTAACTTCCCATGCTACCATGCCTGCAAACTCAACTTCTACCTTACCTCTCAACTCTACTCTTACGTTAAAACCTCAATAACAAAAAAAAAAAAAAAAAAAAAAAAAAAAAAAAAAAAAAAAAAAAACACCTCAATAACTTAGGAGAATGTCCAGGTTCAGTAACATTATAGGCCATATGGCATTAGCTCTTATTCACTGCTCAAGTTTCAGATTGACTCTTCATTTCTGGTACCATGTAGTTTTCCTTTTTTGTTTTTAAACTGAGATATGTATATGCCTGTTTTCAAGGTTGTTAAATCTATTCAGCAGTACAGTGTGTTTGGAGCAAGTGGTTGGGTATGTTAACCAACCAGGTTGATCAGAAATTTCAGTTTTATCTATATGATACCACCTGGCTAATTAGAGTTTTCTTGTATTCTCAGTTTGCTTATTTAATTTCCATTAAATAAACCAGTGGATCATATAAACTGTCCAAAAATGCAGCTTTAAATCTTGTTGCTCTGTCTTTACATGTCACGGTTGTCTCAGATAGCAAATTCCTGGAGAACAGTCATTGCACTACATGTAGACATGCATTAGCATCACTGGAAAATGAAAATAAACAGAGTAGTGTGCATGGAGCATCTGAGGATTCCATTTGCAAGGAAAAACATCTTTTTCTAAGTTAGCTCTTTTCTTTTTGGCAATTTTTTTTCATGGATTCAGACTCAAAATGCAGCTTTCTTTTCATCTGGCAGTGGTAGTCATTGGCGTCTTCATATTATTACATTGTTCCTTAAGAATAAACAAGAAGTTTCACTACCACTTTTGCTTGCTGTGACAAAATCTCAAGAAATTGGAGGGTCCTCTGGCACCAGCCCTTACATATAGTTGGTTGACTTAATACTTGGTCAAATGTCACTCTCAAGCCTGAAATATAATAATGAGAAACTTTTCTCTTCTTTTCTTTTTGTGAGGATGAGGGGTAGAATTATGAACTATAAAACTGAAGTGACAGGAAGGTGTTAGGAGAAATGTTCAAAACATTGATGTGATTTATGCACATGTGGCAAACAGATGTGGTGGAGTAATAGGGACCCCCAACTCCTTTTATAAATTTGGATCACATTTGTGTCTTTCTCATACCACCACCACCACCTCCAGGTTCATAACATGCTTTATTAAAATTCTCTGTGGGGTATATGGATGATTAATAATTGTTGATGACAGAAATTTGGTTTTGGTAAGCTGCACAGTGAAAGATAAATACAACAGGGCTATTTAAACCTCTGTATAGTATCCTTATTAGAGTGAGATGTCTCTGTAAGATGGCCTCTGTTGAGTTTGTGTGTGATTTATGGAAATGTCACCAATGACCCTGGTTCTGGAAGAACTCTTAAAGTCTCCTTTGTTGTAATTATCACTTGTGTTTCAGTTGTCAGTGGAGAAAATCATTTTTGGAAAAAAAGGAGTCAAGAGTGGTTAAAATGTGCTTCAAATAAAATAAACATTGGTTAGCTATCTAGGAATAAAACACAAAGAAAACCCTGAGATAGGTATTGGAAATAAAAATTTATTTGTAAACAAATCTAAATGTGATATGGTAGAGAAAGCCATGTATAGGAAAACCCTGGAATATTGGTTTTTTATTCTCTTCCCAACTCTACCATATCTCACACATCTGTAACCTTTACACAAGCCATTTAATTCTTTCTACCTTTGTTGGGAGAGCAAATGTTCTGCAATTAGTATCTCTAATATAGTTTGAAATAAAATTTTTAACAAAACAACAAATGTTTATGAGTCTTGCATCTGTATGGACAGAAACTCAAATCATACAAATGTGTTTACAGGAAAGTATTGGTATTTCTCTTATCCTTCCCAATTCCTCAATATCATTTGTCTAAAAGCAACTACTATAAGTTTGAAATCATTAAAGTCCCAACATTATAAGTTAATCTGTCAAATAAGAATATTGAAATGTATCACAAGTTACAATACAAATTTAATATTCTTTACTTTCCACAATGAGTTGAAACTGGTTATTTGTAAAGCTGGCAATTATAGCAATATCAAATAACTGCCATCTAATTCAAATGATATATTTGAAAAAGATAAGGGAAAATATTTTTTAAATAATCAAAATATGCTAGATGTCTCATGATTACTGACAGTAAAATTTTGCTTTGGACTGGGACTTCATCACACAGAACTAAAAGATTATACACAGCTAAATGTCTTGATTTGCAATTTTCTAAACTCCTCCATTTCTCCTAAGCAAGAATATGGCTGACAGTTGTCTGGAAGTCACAAAGAATGCTGGATAGGGGTCTCCTACAAAATGCTACAAAAATCAGTATGAGGCAAGTCTTTACTTAATGTGTGGGGTTAAAGGAGAAAAAGAATAAGAACTCTCATGCTTTATTTCATGCCCTCATTTTTCATTCAATTAGAGTAAATTATAAAACCAGTAACAAAAATGAAAACACACATGGTAACAATATCATAATGCATTTGAGAAATAATGCAGAAGATGGACTTAACCACCTGAAAAAAATTGGGGAAACTATTCAGGGGTCTAAGTGGAAGTCTGGAATTTTGATTACTTAGACAACTTTCCTTCAGCTCTGTTGAGATCATCAGTTTCCCTCTCACCATCAATAATGACTAGTAACTCAGTTTTATAATATCTGTCTCATAAAGAATGTATAAAAAGCTTTCCAAAGGGAAAAGAAAAAAAGAACGAGTGTTGTTACAGTTTTCATTTCTTTAGAATGTTTTGTCCTCCGTCTGAAAGTGGGTTAAGACATTTAGACTTGAATAACTGGAAAGTCTCTTGATTCTTTTCTAAATTGAAGTGTCTTCGTGGTTGACAACTGAGGAATGATTTACAATTCCTGGAGTACTTTGTGAATTTTGTCTTTAAAACCAGTTCTTAATATTCAATCTATTTGGAAATTGGAGCTTGAATAATAGCTAGTGATTTTTAAAATGTGGAGTTTGTTCAGTTTGAAGTATATGTCCAAACTGGCATATTTTCAAAAATACAAATTACCACATTCAATTGTCCTGGAAACCAATGAAGAAGCAGTGGTTTGTTTTCTCCAAGTTGTGGAATAAGTTGATGTGTGAAAATTTAAAAACTAAGGAAAGCAGACTCTCCTGCACAGGTGTTATCATCCCAGTATACTCCCCATTCATTGTAGTATGGCCCTGTAATGATACCATACGTTTCCAGGTCTCACCAGTTCAAATCCAGAGAGTAAAGGAGACAGCCACAACTTCTTATATATCCTCTCAGAAAAAAAAAAAAAAAAAAAAAAAAAGCTAATGTTCTATTAATTTAGACTTTCAAAAATGAGTTTAAATATGCTGGTATCTCATTAGTGTAGCAGTTTTGAATTACCCTAGCAAGGGAACCAGTTTAACTCTTGACTACTCTTAGCTAACATGAACAAAATAACGAATCTTTTTATCTTTTCTGAAACTAGTCAGTAAATGTTGAAAGTAAGTATAAGCCTAAATAGCATTTTAACTAATGGGAAAAGGCAACTGGATAACTAAGAACTTGAAACTGGGTTTATAACTCACCTGACATTCTATTCTTATCACTTAGAATTTTGCTAAATAAGACCTACATTCTGTCTTTCTTGAAGGAAGATCTAAATAAAAATAAAAATACCTTTAAAAATGAAGAAGGTAGCTGGTCTGGGCATGGTGGCTCACGCCTATAATCTCAGCACTTTGGGAGGCCGAGGTGGGCAGATCACTTGAGCCCAGGAGATTGAGGGCTGCCTGGGCAACATTTCCCTATTTTTTGTAGAAACCCCTATCTCTACAAAAATTAGTTAGGCATGGTGGTGTGTGCCTGTGGTCTCAACTACTCAGGAGTCTGAGGCTGGAGGATCACCTGAGTCTGGGGAGGTCAAGGCTGCAGTGTACCATGATTTTGCCACTGGAACCCAACCTGGACAACAGAGTGAGACCGTCTCAAAATAACAATAATAGAAAGAAAAGGAAGGAAGGAAGGAGGGAAGGAAGGAAGGAGGGAGGGAGGGAGGGAGGGAGGGAAGGAAGGAAGGAAGGAAGGAAGGAAGGAAGGAAGGAAGGAAGGAAGGAAGGAAGGAGAGAAGGACCATATACTTATTCTTTCCTTAATTCTGCAATTACTCAGCACCCCTATGTGTTAAATATCTTGCCAGGAACTGTAAAGATTTTAAAACAAAGAAATAAACAAAATGCAACAACAAAAAACTACAATCTGTGACTTTTAGTAGCTCGTATTGAGGACAGAAATATAACTATTACCTAATAAAAATGCTATACAATATAACTGCTATAAAAGATGTATGTGGAAAATTCTATAGGAATACAGAGAAAGGAAGGACTTGCTACCCCTAGAGAAACTGGAAGTCACATAATCTATGTCTCATGTTGGTGTTCACCAGGTGTAAAGATGATCATGATCAGGAGGAGCATGAACAAGAATAGAGCTGTGGATGGAAATACTTGGGATCAGATATTGGTAAGTATGCTTGAGTGAACATTAATGGGGTCCCTCTATAACATGTTAAGAAATCTGCTTGTAATCAGAATAAGCAAAGAAGAGGTTTTCTTTCTCTTTTTTATTGCATTTTAGGTTTTGGGGGACGTGTGAAGAACATGCAAGATTGTTGCATAGGTACACACATGGCAGTGTGATTTGCTGCCTTCCTCCTCATCAACTGTATCTGGCATTTCTCCCCATGCTATTTCTCCCTATCTCCCCACCCCCTGCTGTCCCTCCCCTATTTCCCTGCAACAGACCCCAGTGTGTGATGCTCCCTTCCCTGTGTCCATGTCTTCTCGTTGTTCAACACCCACCTATGAGTGAGAACATGTGTTTGATTTTCTGTTCTTGTGTCAGTTTGCTGAGAATAATGGTTTCCAGGTTCATCCATGTCCCTACAAAGGACACGAACTCATCATTTTTTATGGCTGCATAGTATTCCATGGTGTATATGTGCCACATTTTCCCTGTCCAGTCTATAATCGATGGGCATTTGGGTTGGTTCAGGTCTTTGCTATTGTAAACAGTGCTGCAATGAACATTTGTGTGTATGTGTCCTTATAGTAGAACTGTTTATAATCCTTTGGATATATACCCAGTAATGGGATTGCTGGGTCAAATGGAATTTCTATTTCTAGGTCCTTGAGGAATTGCCGCACTGTCTTCCACAATAGTTGAACTAGTTTACACTACCACCAACAGTGTAAAATTGTTCCTATTTCTCCACATCCTCTCCAACATCTGTTGTCTCCAGATTTTTTAATGATCGTCATTCTACCAACTGGTGTGAGATGGTATCTCAATGTAGTTTTGATTTGCTTTTCTCTAATGACCAGTGATGATGAGCATTTTTTCATATGTTTATTGGCCTCATGTATGTCTTCTTTTGTAAAGTATCTGTTCATATTCTTTGCCCACTTTTGAATGAGTTTGTTTGCTTTTTTCTTTTACGTAAATCTGTTTTAGTTCTTTGTAGATTCTTGTTATTAGCCCTTTGTCAGATGGGTAGATAGCAAAAAAATTTTCCCATTCTGTTGGTTGCTGATTCACTCTAATGACTTTCTTTTGCTGTGCAGAAGCTGTGGAGTTTAATTAGGTTCCATTTGTCTATTTTGGCTTTTGTTGCCAATGCTTTTGGTGTTTTGGTCATGAAGTCCTTGCCTATGCCTATGCCTATGTCCTGAATGGTTTTGCCTTGATTTTCTTCTAGGGTTTTTATGGTGTTAGGTCTTATGTTTAAGTCTTTAATCCATCTGGAGTTAATTTTAGTGTAAAGTGTCAGGAAGGGGTCCAGTTTCTGCTTTCTGCACATGTCTAGCCAGTTTTCCCAACACCATTTATTAAACAGGGAATCCTTTCCCCATTGCTCGTTTTTGTCAGGTTTGTCAAAGATCAGATGGTTGTGTATGTGTGGTGTTGCCTCCAAGGGCTCTGTTCTGTTCCATTGGTTTATATCTCTGTTTTGGTACCAGTACCAAGAGTTTTTTAAGATTGCCAAGCAGTGGAACTGACATGATCAGATTTGAGTTTACACAGACCACTCAGGACTATTCAAAAAATGTATTGATGGGAACAAGACTCTTGGGAGGAAAAACAAATAGAAGGCTATTGCAAAGATGAAAATCTGAACATCCCCTGCCCTCCCCCACACACACACCAAATACAGTGGAATGAAGAGGAAAGAGATGAAAATTAAGTTCCTCAATCCCAACACACTATTCTACATGCCAGTCTCTGTGTCCATTCATGTCCCTCCCCTAACAAGCTCTCTCTGTGATATGATTTGGATGTTTGTCCATCTTGAAATATGATTCCCAGTGTTGGAGGTGATTGGATCATGGGAACAGATCTCTCCTTAATGGTTTTCATTAAGTGATGAGCGAGTTTTCACTCAATTATTTCACAGGAGATCTAGCTGTTTAAAATAGTCTGGGATCTCCCCCTTCTCTCTCTCTTGCTCCCTCACTTGCCATGTGATGTGCCTCTTCCTACTTCTCCTTTTGCCATGAGTAAAAGCTCCCTGAGGTCTCTCTATAAGCCCAGCAGATGCCAGTGTCATGCTCACTGAATGGCCTGAAGAACCATGAGCCAATTAAATCTTTCTTTATAAATTACCCAGTCTCAGGTACTCTTTTATAGCAACACAACCATGAACTAAAACATCTGCTACACTTTTTGCACATTCTACAAATTTCCCACTTAACTTCCTTTAAAAATTGTTATATATTTCAGAGATAGGAAGGTGATAAGGACTAATGTAATGAACACCTCTGAACCCACTACTCAGTTTGGGAGATAAAACATTAATACTTGTGAATCCTTCTGTGTGGCCCTCTGTGTTGATAAATGTAGCTTCAGTTCCATGATTTTTATTGCTAAGTGGTATGTAATTATGTAAACATACCAAGATTTCTTTATCCATGTCTTGTATATAGAGATGGATTGTTCCAGCTTTTTCCTGTTATAAGTAACACCATTATAAAAATTATTATCTGTCACTTTCTATAGAGGAGATTTTTTTAGGTATAAACAAGAAGGCAAAATCATCATCAGAGTAGGCATTTTCAGCTTCATTAGATATTGACAGATTGTTCTCCAAAGTGACTATACCAGTTACACTCTCACCAGCAAATTAAAAAATTAAATTTAACTGAAAATGTAAATAAAACAAAAGCTCTTAGTGTTCCACAACCCCCCAATACTCAATATTGTCAAACTTTTTGATTGTTACCAGATTGTACCAGGCATTTTAAGCCACTGAGTATTCTCTAGCTTTAGCTGTAAGTGAGATGTGAAGCTACTGGAGAAGTTTGAATAGAAGGATGAAATTATCTGATTATTCTGGCCACTTAGGGAACAGACTATAAAAAGAAAAGGGATGGAAGCAGCAAGACCAAATAAGTGACTGTTGTATAACCAATTCAAAATATGGAGAATTAAACTAGTTGTGGTAGCAGTGGAGGAGTGAGAACTAGAAATATGTAAGACAGAATATGTAAGTGTGGACTCCAAGTTTTCGAAAGGACGGACAGAATTCAGTTACTGTTTACTAAGATGGGAAGGATTGCAGGAGGAGCAGGGTTAGAGGGAAGATCAGGAGTCAGCTTGGGCTTGATATCTTTGAGAGAAGACTATTAGCTATTCAATTAAAGATAGATGAGTTTAAAGTAAATATGATAGAACATATTTACAAATAGGATGCAAATAGGAGAGGTTCCTCAGGTTTTAAGCAAGCTTTTCTCTTCTTAGACACCACTAAGTGATAGTCTAATTGGAAGCTTACTTGAGCCAGGGAAGATCAAGTGACAGAAGGGGTCGTTTGTTCTCAAACTATCTTTACTACATGGAGTTAACCTCAAGTAAAAAACCATTTGTCTCAACATGTAACATTTACCTTCATATATAGTCATCAGCATGTGCTATTAGCTCTATTAAACATGGAACCTCAAAGAGTCTCTGCAAATAAGAAGGAATAATTAGCACTCCTACCTGGGTGCAGTGCTTCATGCCTATAATCCCACTACTTTGGGAGGCTGAGACAGGAGGATTGGTTGAACCCAGAATTTTGAGACCAGTCTGGATGACGTAGTGAGACCTTATCTCTACAACATTTTTAAAAATTGGGCATTGCTACTTTGGAGGTTGAGGCAGGAGGATGGCTTGAGCCTGGGAGTTCAAGACTGCAGTGAGCTGTGATAGACCACTGCACTCCAGTCTGGGTGACAGAGCGAGACCCTGTATTTTATCCCCTTTTCACCCTTTCCTCCTGAGTCTCCAAAGTCTGTTGTGTCATTCTTATGCCTTTGCATACTCATAGCATAACTCCACTTATGAATGAGAACATATGATATTTTGTTTTTCATTCCTTAGTTACTTCACTCAGAATAATAGTTTTCAATCCCATGCAGGTTGCTGCAAATGCCATTAATTATTTCCTTTTGTATGGCTGAGTAGTGTTCCATTGTGCATATATACTACAGTTTCTTTCTCCACTCGTTGATTGATGGGGAGGCATTTGGGCAGGTTCCACATTTTTGCCATTGTGAATTGTGCTGCTATACACATGCATGTGCAAGTATCTTTTTCATATAATGACTTATTTTCCTCTGGGTAGATACCCAGTACTGGAATTGCTGGATCAAATGGAGGTTCTATTTTTAGTTCTTTAAGGAATCTCCACACTGTTTTCCATAGTGGTTGTACTAGTTTACATTCCCACCAGCCGTATAGAAGTGTCCCCTGTTCACCACATCTATGCCAACATTATTATTTTTTGATTTTTTGATTATGGCCATTCTTGCAGGAGTAAGGTGGTATTATATTGTGGTTTGATTTGCATTTCCCTGATCATTAGTGATGTTGAGCATTTTTAAAATATGTTTGTTAGCCATTTGTACATCTTCTTTTAAAAATTGTCTGTTTATGTCCTTAACACGCTTTTTGCTGGGTTTGTTTGTTTCTTGATAATTTGTTTGAGTTTACTGTAGATTTCTGGATATTAGTTTTTTTTCAGATGTGTATATTGTGAAGATTTTCTCCTACTCTGTGGGATGTCTGTTTACTCTGCTAACTGCTCTTTTGCAGTGAAAAAGCTCTTTAGTTTAATTAAGTCCCAACTATTTATCTTTGTTTTTATTGCATGTGCTTTTGGGTTCCCAGTCATGTGATTTTTTTTTTTTTTTTTTTTTGAGGGTGTCAATGAACCAGAGTTCTGCCTCCTTCTCATTTGGGTAGGCTCTGTTAAGAAGGAAGGTCTAGGGCCCAAAGCTGTTGTTCTGAGTCTTTTGTTCCATAGGGTGTTCCATTGATGTAGTACCTTCCTTCTTTTCCTAGGGATGTGGCTTCCTGAGAGCTGGGCTGTAGTGATTGTTATCTCTTTTCTGGATCTAGTCACGTAGCAGATCTACCTACCAGGCTCCCAGCTGGTACCGGGGGTTGTCTGCACAGAGTCCTGTGATGTGAACTCTCAGTGGTTG